CTCGTGAATTAACCTACTATCACACTGACCCACACTCGTGAATTAACCTACTATCACACTGACCCACACTCGTGAATTAACCTACTATCACACTGACCCACACTCGTGAATTAACCTACTATCACACTGACCCATACTCGTGAATTAACCTACTATCACACTGACCCACACTCGTGAATTAACCTACTATCACACTGACCCACACTCGTGAATTAACCTACTATCACACTGACGTACACTCGTGAATTAACCTACTATCACACTGACCCACACTCGTGAATTAACCTACTATCACAACACTGACCCACACTCGTGAATTAACCTACTATCACACTGACCCATACTCGTGAATTAACCTACTATCACACTGACCCACACTCGTGAATTAACCTACTATCACACTGACCCATACTCGTGAATTAACCTACTATCACACTGACGTACACTCGTGAATTAACCTACTATCACAACACTGACCCACACTCGTGAATTAACCTACTATCACACTGACCCACACTCGTGAATTAACCTACTATCACACTGACCCACACTCGTGAATTAACCTACTATCACACTGACCCACACTCGTGAATTAACCTACTATCACACTGACCCATACTCGTGAATTAACCTACTATCACACTGACCCACACTCGTGAATTAACCTACTATCACAACACTGACCCACACTCGTGAATTAACCTACTATCACACTGACCCATACTCGTGAATTAACCTACTATCACACTGACCCACACTCGTGAATTAACCTACTATCACACTGACCCACACTCGTGAATTAACCTACTATCACACTGACGTACACTCGTGAATTAACCTACTATCACACTGACCCATACTCGTGAATTAACCTACTATCACACTGACCCACACTCGTGAATTAACCTACTATCACAACACTGACCCACACTCGTGAATTAACCTACTATCACAACACTGACCCATACTCGTGAATTAACCTACTATCACACTGACCCACACTCGTGAATTAACCTACTATCACACTGACCCATACTCGTGAATTAACCTACTATCACACTGACCCACACTCGTGAATTAACCTACTATCACACTGACCCATACTCGTGAATTAACCTACTATCACACTGACCCACACTCGTGAATTAACCTACTATCACACTGACCCACACTCGTGAATTAACCTACTATCACACTGACCCACACTCGTGAATTAACCTACTATCACACTGACCCACACTCGTGAATTAACCTACTATCACAACACTGACCCACACTCGTAAATTAACCTACTATCACAACACTGACCCACACTCGTAAATTAACCTACTATCACAACACTGACCCACACTCGTGAATTAACCTACTATCACACTGACGTACACTCGTGAATTAACCTACTATCACAACACTGACCCACACTCGTAAATTAACCTACTATCACACTGACGTACACTCGTGAATTAACCTACTATCACACTGACCCACACTCGTGAATTAACCTACTATCACAACACTGACCCACACTCGTAAATTAACCTACTATCACACTGACCCACACTCGTGAATTAACCTACTATCACACTGACCCATACTCGTGAATTAACCTACTATCACACTGACCCACACTCGTGAATTAACCTACTATCACACTGACCCATACTCGTGAATTAACCTACTATCACACTGACCCACACTCGTGAATTAACCTACTATCACACTGACCCACACTCGTGAATTAACCTACTATCACACTGACCCACACTCGTGAATTAACCTACTATCACACTGACCCACACTCGTAAATTAACCTACTATCACACACTCGTGAATTAACCTACTATCACACTGACCCACACTCATGAATTAACCTACTATCTTACGATTGAAGTTGTTCCACAATGAGATCAAGAAACCCTGAAATCTCCCGCTTCAGAAAATGTCGCCGTCAAAGCCTTTCTCATGTGGTTTTTGATGTCCCTGGTGGAGACACCCCCCCCTCCCCTAGATTCCACCTGTAATCTCGTTAGGATGCCGTCAGTGGTTCTATCCCGTCTAGGGAGAGATGTCTTTGGGTGGGTGGGGTGGGGGGGGGGGCTAGGCTCTAATGCTTAGTATGGTTTCTCCAAGGAGATGATTGTTGTGGTAGCAGACAGATTGTGGGATTGGTATCCTAAATATCTCCATAGGCTTTAGCAAAAGTGAGTACATTCAATCCATATTGTTTAACTACATTTAAACATCGGTTTCCATTTGTTAGTAATTTTTGTATCATTTTTTTTTAATCGAACATAAGTTGCTATTTATCATTTTGCTATTCTAAAAAATAGAATTTTTTATCTTATCTTTTAAAAGTCGGGGTGGGGTTAGGTTTTAAAATGTTTATTACTTAAAAAGTAATTAGAATGAAGTATGTCTAATAGAGAAATATATTGTGTGAGTTAATGAAGATATTCGAGATAATATATAATTGGATGTTTTGAATTTTATTTGAAATGATCACATAAAAATTTAAAACCTTAATACCGTATCAGATGGCGCATAATATAATTACGTCGAGATGACATGGCTAAATACGTCATGGGATTTATTTTAACAATCTGCTACACACACACACATACACACACGCCCCAACACACACCCGTACACAATCATATACACATATACAGACACACACAAATCGCTCATCTATAGATATGCATTAAAAAAGGATACACACACATAACATACAAATAAAAAAGTACTAAAATTCGAATTTGCACTCACACACACACACACACACACACACACAACACAGTGCATGAAAGTAAACACGAATTATTTTGGCACACGTTTAAAAATTACTATTGTTATTTCAAGTTTCTATAAGGCGGTGCATGTTAATGTTGAGAGTAGGCTTAATTTTATATTCGCTATTTTTGTTTTAAATTAATAACAAAATAATTATTCATTTTTTTAATTCTACTAGTGCACAATATATTTTTATGTGTACTTAACAAAATGTTAAAAAACCAACAATAACAGTCCCTTTTTATATATATTTTATATATCTTCTTTATAAATAATGTTAAACGTTTAAAAAAAAATCTCCTTTTTGTACATCATCCATCTTTGTAATAGGAAAAAAAAAAGAAAATACGAATCAGAAATCTAAGCACTCAGACTCTATATTGCACCAAAGCCTCAATAAATTGTAAGCATTTTCATGCTCATTCATGTAAGCACAAGGCGATCGTATTTTCATTTAATAAATAAAGAACAGCCATCGAGAATATTCCTTCACTCATCTGGTATAAAACTCATATTTTACAGTGCGCATGTCTCGAGCGAGGAGAATAGCCTCTAACTCCTACAAGAATTAACTGGTATTTTCTCGCTGTTCCTCCTTGTTACAAGAGCGACAATCGACTTAAAGATTTTTCCTTATGAGAGAGTTGACAAAATCCCATTCTTTGATGGATGGGCTAGAAATGAAATGCTTGATAGAAAATAGACTAGGGACAACTGAAGTGGGGGGAGGTGGGGTGTTAGGTCGAATAGAGGCGGGGGTGGAGGGAGAACTGAGGTAAGGGGGGGGAGGGAGAACGTCTGGAGATTGTTTTTTTTTTCTTACCTGTGTAACAATATGTTTAGCCAAGTTAGATAATCGTGCATGGCCTATGGGGAAGTACGGTTATTGCATTTATTTTAGGGGTGGGTGGAGGGGTGTTGATTGAAAAAGTGGAACTGGGCTGTGGATTGTTGGGACGAGAATTTTTGAGTGGCGGATAAAGTAATGAATTGTCATTTTGTGGATTGTTATATTGTGGATTGTTGTGTGGTGGATAGTTGGACGATGGATGGCTGTTTGGTGGATTTTTGAGTTGTGGGTTGTTTGGTAATGGCATTTTCATTGCTGGATTGTTGTTTATGTTAAACCTATGTCATTTTTATGGTGGATATTGTGAATACTGTACTGTGGTTAGTGTTGAGAAAACACGGAGTGTTGTGGTTGAGGTGAAATCGGGTTCAGGGTTCGAAACACCTTGTGGGGGGAGAGGGGGTCAGAGGTGAGGTTGGGGGGTGTCGATGTTGAGATTTAGACCACTTGTGAGCTATTTAGCCTAGAGTTTATTGACAGTTGATGTTGGGGTCGATGGGATCAGTCTTTCTTTCAGGCATCTCTTCGGCGGGGGTGAAAAGGGGGGAGTACCCCTCCTTCCTCCCCCCCCCCCCCGCCGAAGTATGTCTAGCGCCACATCCCACCCCCCCCCCCCCCACCCCGAGAGAAAAAGACTTTATATTGAAAATCTATACTTTTACCAGTGTCCCCCACCCCCCCTGGAAATGCAATCCCCCAGGCGCCCCCCCCCCCCCCATCTCCTCCCGGATAAAAATAGTCTGAAATAACACAGGTTGGGATTTAGACACACTTGTGACCTGTTTATTCTATGAGTTTATTGATAGGAAGAAATATTTTTAAATCTTTTCGTTATTAAAATTCGGTCTCAACTAGCGATTGATCAAATTCTAATCAATTTTCGTCATTATTGATTGTTTCTCCCTGAATCAAATTTCGTCATTAACGAGTAGAAGAAAATCCGGGGGCTTTAAGCAGTCGATGACGTCATGAGTTTTGTAATTAATTGAAGCGCGACAGTAATGAAGGGGATATCGGGATGGGGATGAAGTTCACGTTGTAATATCAAAACTGATCAGAGTTAATTGCTGGGCAAAAAAATTGTATCACTTGTTTGACAAGCACAAAAGATCGATCTAGATTCAGAGCTACTTTCAGTCATTTTTCTCCAGGGGAATGGGCGTGCTTTTTTTTTGGGGGGGGGGGGTTTGAATAAATGTACCCCCCCTCCTTGTTCCGAATAAAAGCCTGAAAGAAACAACTGTCTAGAATATAGTTCTAGAACGCGAATTGTTAATGGGGGTACTTTGTTTGCCGTCGTGGTACTTAAAGAACGTTCTGTTATTTAGAGTTATGTACTTTTTAAATGTACATGCAATAACTAGGATCTACTCTTCAGAGAATCAGGGTACTTGATCAGGTTGTTGACAACTGTTGCTGTTGACGACTGTACTTAGAATATAGTTTTAGCAATCAGTGTTCTTTGTAACGGTATATTCATTGGGGTTAGTGAACTTTGAAGCTAACACCATTATGATCGTTTACACATGGAGTCAAACTGAGAAAATGGCTCAGAGATCTTTGGTTGGCGGCCCATACTCCAGCAGGGGTGAATGGCATTACATGAAGAATATACTTACATGCAATATACTTTTAGGGGTCAGTGTCATTTGTTGCGGTATATATGTGTAAGCATATATGAGTACATATACTACGATGTGTTTTAGCTGTAGGGATCATATACCAAAATAAGATAGATCTGTAAGGATCGTGTAATTTGATCAGTTAGGGTCATTGAACTTAGATTGGCCACAAATTGGTTCGTTAACATTTTATATTCAACCATTGTAAATAATGTATTAATTTAGTCTTGCCGTTTTCTGACCGTGCTGTTGTAAACCGTGAGCAGACACCAGCCGAGGAGATACAAACACACAGTACTCACCTTTCGCTTGTTCCTTCCTCTGACGTCCTCCGTCGCCACGTGCGCGCCGGGTCGCCGTGACCCCCAGATATGCCAGGCTATCCGGCAGTAGCAGAAGGTGATGATGACCAGTGGCAGCAGGTACTGGCAGCAGACTAGCAGCGTGTTGTAGTAGAGGTCAAAGTTGGCCAGGTCCTCGGGCGAGTGCCGCGAGCACCGGATCTGTTCCTCGCCGTTTTCCGTGATCGTGTCGACCCAGTAGAACAGCGGAAACGGAAGTCCGGCCCCGATGGCCACCGCCCAGATGACGGTGATGATGATGGCGGCGGATTTCTTGGAGCAGCCGGCTTTGAAGGGGTGGATGACGGCGATGTAGCGGTCGACGGCGATGACGCTGAGGGTGAAGATGCTGATGTTGACGCTGACGACTTGACCGAAGGGCGCGAGGGAGCACATGAAGTTGGCCAGGACCCAGCGCTGGAGGAGGGCGGCCTGAAACTGGAGGGTGGGGGGGGGGGGGTGGGGGGCGTTAGGAGGGATGGGTGAGGTTATGAGGGATGGGTGGTGTCCTGGGGGTTGTCATGACGGATGGGTTGAGTCATGGGGGTTGTCATGACGGATGGGTTGAGTCATGGGGGTTGTCATGACGGATGGGTTGAGTCATGGGGGTTGTCATGACGGATGGGTTGAGTCATGGGGGTTGTCATGACGGATGGGTTGTGTCATGGGGGTTGTCATGACGGATGGGTTGTGTCATGGGGGTTGTCATGACGGATGGGTTGAGTCATGGGGGTTGTCATGACGGATGGGTTGTGTCATGGGGGTTGTCATGACGGATGGGTTGTGTCATGGGGGTTGTCATGACGGATGGGTTGTGTCGTGGGGGTTGTCATGACGGATGGGTTGTGTCATGGGGTTGTCATGACGGATGGGTTGTGTCGTGGGGGTTTTCATGACGGATGGGTTGTGTCATGGGGGTTGTCATGACGGATGGGTTGAGTCATGGGGGTTGTCATGACGGATGGGTTGTGTCATGGGGGTTGTCATGACGGATGGGTTGTGTCATGGGGGTTGTCATGACGGATGGGTTGTGTCATGTGGGTTGTCATAACGGATGGGTTGTGTCATGGGGGTTGTCATGACGGATGGGTTGTGTCATGGGGGTTGTCATGAGGAATAGGTAGTGTCCTAAAGAATGGGTGACATCATGAAGGATGGTTGATGATGTGGGATGGAGGATGTCACTAGGGGGGAATGAATTCATGTTAAATGACGTCATGATAGCCGCCTGACGGCAAACATTTGAGTTAACAATATCGAGGTAAAATGCCTCCCGCAGTATTTTAAAAATAAAAATAAAATGTATGTCATTAGGTCAACTCTGCAGTAATTCAAACCTTTGTGAAAAAATGTGAATTTCAATGATCAACTAATAATTCGCACAACACGAGGTAAACCTGTGTGACGGACTGGGTCCATCAGATCGTGTCTTCGGGCAGCTTTAAATGGCCAGAACTTTAAAGTTTTATTCTAATCAATGAACCGGGCCACTTATTTTGGTTGATTTATTTCAAATGTTTATTTCGTAACCCGATCTACTGCCATAAGTGTCAGAGAGATTCAAACATTTATCCTCTGGTATTTATACACATACTAAGAACTTTTTAAAAAAATATCACACGTTCAAAGTAAACCCCCCTCCCTCCATCAACCCCGACATTTTCCTTCCTATCCAAGCTACGTCTTTCATGAAAAAAAAACAAAAAATACATGGCGTCCTTAGTAACCTATAGCAACGTGACTCATTGACAGATTGGAACCTAGGGCCTCCGTCATAATCTTCTACCTACTTTGTTCGGGCAGTGGCGTAGCGAGGTCGGGTGTCACCCGGTGCGGCACTTAATTTGTTCCCGGGGACAAATTTCAATTTTCGATTTGCACCCCTCCCCCCCCCCCCCCCCCCTTAAACTTTCGATATGCACCTCTTAAAACACTATTTAACACTCGAATTAATCATTTAATTAAGTGGAATTATCATTTTTCTGTATATATTTTGCTCTTTTTTTTGCCTTGGTGTCACCCCCTAAATGGTGTCACCCGGTGCGGTCCGGTCCGCCCCCCCCCCCGCCCCCCCCCTCGCTACGCCCCTGTGTTCGGGCCCCAACTGTGTGTCTCCCAAGACTTACGTGAGTCACAACACCATGATATTTCGCGTGGTTAGTTATCATTGATACGACTATTTACCACTTCAAATTTGATTTGGGCGGCGTTAGGATCGCAGAAAAGCCAGGATTTTCACTCCATTACCTTATCTAATCCTTGATAGACTGATGTTAACTTTTACATCATGAGTTACAATACTACAAACGAAGAACTAAAAACGTGTTAGAAACGGGTAAATCTAGTAAAATGGGTGAAATAAATGCTTGGTTCAAATTAAAGCTTCAGAGATCTGCTCGAAGCTAGTGTCGTCTATAAAAACAAGAGTTCTTATTTATATTATCTAGTCACACGAATCTAATAAACAAACACGCGCCCACACTTCTAAACGTGAGTACACAAATACACCTCGACTCACCTGAAACGGTATAGAGAAGAGCCCGATGATGACGTCAGCGACGGCAAGGTTGGCGATGAAGATGTTGGTGACGGTGTGCATGCGGCGGTTCTTGACGATAACCAGGATGACGAGGCCGTTGCCGATGACGGCAAGGAGGGAGATGGAGCCGTAGAGGAAGGCGAGGAGGCAGATGAGCCCCGTGGGCACGTCGTACTGCTCCACGGAGGAGAGGTTGCTGCTCGGCAGCGTGCTGGTGATGTTGTCGTCCCACGGGCTGCTGGCGTTGGTCGGGCTGTCGATGTAGATGACCTCTAGGACGTCGGTGAGGTTGGTCATCTTCAGGTGTGTGGAGTTGACCTGGACGTATAGTTGTGTAGTCTTAACGTGGTACCTGGACGTGTTGCCTGAAGGTGTTCCTCTGACGTGATACCTTGACGTGTTACCCTGACGTAAAGCGTAGACGTGTTGCCTGCAGGTGTTACCTAGAGGTGTTACCTGTGCGTGTTACCTGCCCGTAAAGAGCGTGAACATTGACGTGTTGATTGGACTTTGAAACTGCCTGGACGTGTTTCTTAGTCGCCTTACCTGTACGTGATGCGTGGACGTCTGAAAAAGACGTGTCTCCTGGACGTGCTGATTTGTCCTGGAGTGTTATTGAACTTTTTGCCTGAATATGTGACCTCTACTCAGACGTATTTCCTTGACTATCTACCTGCTCCAGATACCTGTACCTCACCTGGACGTATCACCTGGACCTAACCTGGATGTGTCACCTGGACGTGTCACCTGGACCTCACCTGGACGTGACACCTGGACGTATCACCTGGACCTAACCTGGACGTGTCACCTGAACCTGTGACCTGGACGTGTTACCTGGACGTGTCACCTGGACGTGTCACCTGGACGTGTCACCTGGACGTATCACCTGGACCTAACCTGGACGTGTCACCTGGACCTCACCTGGACGTATCACCTGGACGTGTCACCTGGACGTGTCACCTGGACGTGTCACCTGTACCTCACCTGGACGTGTCACCTGGACGTGTCACCTGGACGTCACCTGGACGTATTGCCTGCACGAGAAGCGTGTCAGCTGTAGCTTTAGTGAGTTGTACTCAGATGTGTCCAGCGAATGTGATGATGTAGCGCTCAACAGGGTGTTGTGTACTCCAAGAGATGACTGCAGTAGTAACGATGAAAACGTTTATGAAAAGCCATCGTGCCTGGTTGTCTCTCTACAAATCTCAGATTCTAAACTCCGACAGTAACAAATCCCATTGTTGAACGTTTAGCCGATCTGTAAAAATAGAATAAAACGATTTATCAACGTCAGTGAAGTAAGAATACATGCATAAAAGAGGACGCCACTGTTCATTTTTGCTCCATAGAATTAATTAAAAAGAATTGACATCCAAATAATATTTTTTCAATGTTTATGAATGTGTGAGTAGTTATACATAGGTTGTAAAGTACCTTACACGTTAAACAATTTGTTTCTTCGTAATCAAAACATGTTTTTTATGTCATAATCAGAGCGTCAAAAAGAGCGGCTCATATATTGCTGAATATGTAAGCAGCCCGCGGAAGAATTGAAGGCCAGTTTTTGCGTATAAAAACATTAGTGTTGATACTGGCCTTCATTTAAGTAGGACTGAGTTGCTGCTTTATTGCAATGAAAATGTGAAGAGAACGAAGTTTTAAATTTGTGTATTTTATAATAAAATGACTATATGTTCTACATAGGATGATCTACTCACACCTGCTCTCTCTCTCGCACTCTCCTGCTCTCTCTCTTGCACTCTCCTGCTCTCTCTCTCGCACTTTCCTGCTCTCTCTCTCGCACTTTCCTGCTCTCTCTCTCTCTCGCACTCTCCTGCTCTCTCTCTCGCACTCTCCTGCTCTCTCTCTCTCTCGCACTCTCCTGCTCTCTCTCTCTCTCGCACTCTCATGCTCTCTCTCTCGCACTCTCCTGCTCTCTCTCGCACTCTCCTGCTCTCTCTCTCTCGCACTCTCATGCTCTCTCTCTCGCACTCTCCTGCTCTCTCTCTATCTCGCACTATCCTGCTCTCTCTCGCACTCTCCTGCTCTCTCTCTCTCGCACTCTCCTGCTCTCTCTCTCTCTCTCGCACTCTCCTGCTCTCTCTCTCTCGCACTCTCCTGCTCTCTCTCTCTCCTGCTCTCTCTCTCTCTCGCACTCTCATGCTCTCTCTCTCTCTCGCACTCTCCTGCTCTCTCTCTCTCGCACTCTCATGCTCTCTCTCTCTCTCTCTCGCACTCTCCTGCTCTCTCCCCTCCCTTGCTCCTTCCTGCATGCATCACTTTTGCTCCACCTTGCTCCCTCCTACTCTCTCCTCTTCACTACTACTCTCTCCATCTCTTGACCTCTCGGCATCGCACCTTCTCCCCCTGCTCTCTGCACTAACTTAACCCCTATGACATTGCTCTCCGGCCATCCGTCTAAAAATATTTAAAACTATGGCTCGCCTACACAATTCTTTTCCCGGTCTACTAACACAACTTTCCCTGTTTTTACACTTTCTTGCACCCACACCCACCACACCCACACATTATCCCCCCCCCCACTCAACCCCATCCTCGTCCATCCTTACCCCAATGTTCCCAACCATCCGTGTGTAAGTCCCGGGAACCGTCTCACACATACCTCCCACCCATAAGAGAAACCCTGCAAGCGCCTAACACTTTGACAATAAACTGTTGGTGATGAAATATGCATGGCTATTTTTACACCTGCGGATATTCACCGTGTCCACAAATAGCACTTCACATGGCAATACTCAGCGAAAATGTCAACAAAGGAAACTAAAAAAAAAACTTATATTTTCAAACAATAACCGAACTATTGCAACAAGAGATTTGTAAAGAGGGTATTTTATTCATAAAGATGTCGTCAAGAGCTGTATGGCGATACATTTTAATGCCAGAGACGCTTCCAGATTGTCCGGCTTATGAAAAAAAATTTAAATATATATATAAATACATATATATATATATATATATATATATATATATATATATATATATATATATATATATATATATATATATATATATATATATATATATATAATGTATATATAATATATACATATATTATTTATATCCATATGTATATGTATATATATATAATTTATATCCATATATATATATATATATATATATATATATATATATATATATATATATATACATGTAATATATATTTATATGGGTTCCATGACAAATGATCTCAGGACAAATGATCTCAGACAAAATATCTCAGACAAAATATCTCACGGACAAATGATCTCAGGACAAATGATCTCAGGACAAATGATCTCACGGACAAATGATCTCACGGACAAAAGATACCAGGACAAAATATATCAGGACAAATGATATCATGGACAAATGATCTCAGACAAAATATCTCAGACAAAATATCTCACAGCAAAATTTTAATAATGTATTGGATGATTTTAGTTGATTTGAACTTTAAAAAAAATTAAATGTCAATATAGTTTTGTTTACTTTTTAACGCATAATAAATGTGAATAAAATGAATTTGTTTAACTGAACAAAGAATCAAATGATTTATGAAACTTAATCTTTGTAATAGCATTTGATTTGAAAAATAAAAATTAAAACAAACTTACTCCTTTAGCCTGAAAGGTATAATAAATGATAATGTATAAAACAAATAAAATAACATTAATGATCAGAACACGCTAAATATTTTTGAAAAATGTGAATGCTTCTTCAGGTTCTTAACTTAATACTATTGTTTTTATTGCAGCATCAACTCAAACATAACGTATACTTTTCTTTGCTGGCAGGTACATCGTAATGATCACATCTCTCCAATACTATGTGATCATGTATTGTGTTAACTCTAGCTCGACATGTTCTAACTTCACATTTTAAAATATCTTTGACTCCTGCTCCACTTCTGGCTTTAATAAACAAATTCACCAGAAACTAATGACCTAAAACATTACTGCTAGGTAAATTATGAGGCCATAGCTGAGTAAGCACTACCAATACTGCTTTGTTTTCATGTACAGTAAAACAAACTTCGCTCCGCGATGACCGCTCATTGTTTAAATAAGCATTTATCACCTGATCACTAAGGTGTGACCGACGCATAACAATGGACCTTAGATGCTAGTTGTATTGTCCATGGAGGGCGGTTGTCTTTCCCTAAAGGCATGTCTCTGCTATCAAAGCGGGCGGCCACCTTGATACGAAGGTGTGTCTTTTTTGTTATTTCATCCCCTTTGATCTAGTTTCGTCCACCTGACGTGGTAGGATTGTCACATGTTTGTCAATCCCACCTACGCTATCTATAAAAAAAAAATTCTTTAATCTTCGCATACTATATTAGAATTCTTAATTTTAAAATGTTTAGTACAATATGACAAATTTATACGGTAAACATTTCTCACAATTATTATATAGGCCTATAAACAATATTAAACTTAGTAAGCAAAACCATTTGACAGTCAAAAAAATTGTTCAGATCAACTAAAATCATCCAATACACTATTGAAATTTTGCTGTGAGATATTTTGTCTGAGATATTTTGTCTGGGATCAATTGTCCATGGTATCATTTGTCCTGATATATTTTGTCCTGGTATCTTTTGTCCGTGAGATCATTTGTCCTTGAGATCATTTGTCCTGAGATCATTGTCCTGAGATCATTTGTCCGTGAGATATTTTGTCTGAGATATTTTGTCTGAGATCATTTGTCCTGAGATCATTTGTCCTGTCACCATTTATATGTATATACACCCTCTACACATCAACCCTCACAGCCCATACACCCTTTCTTCACAACCATAAGACTACCACCACCTCACACCTCCCAGCTAATAAATAACTCTCGCCTACCTCCCCCATCCCTCCCCCCCCCCCCCCAACGTTCCCTTAGTCCCTCCATACATCCCAAATTTTAAATGATTTCCATCCCATTAAATATTCCGGCCTCCGCTAGTCAGGGCGTATAGACATCAGACCTGCCCTAATGGTCCCCGCCACCTCATTTGCATATTTCAACGATCAGTCCAGTTATTTATGACCCACTCACGTGCAGCCATGCAGTAATTATTGCACGAGAAATTCCGAAACGGTGCAGCGTTAAAATAGAAAGTCTTACACCGCAGACGACAGGCCGTTGGTGACGATGGACTGTGTGAAGAAAGTTGGAAGACTATGAGGGACTCGACGTAGAAAAATAATCCTCAGTGCCAGTTTAACTATTCGGATAACATACATACATACACACATACACACAACATATGTGCAAGCTCACACGCACACGCACTTACACAAATATACATGGATACACACATACTATATATACATATATATGTACGAGAAAAATGGCCCGTTGAGGAAGGATACACCGGGCGCTAGGTTGATAGTGCTGTCTCTTTTCTCTAAACTAAA